GATAGATAGATAGATAGATAGATAGATAGATAGGTTGATTGATTGATGAAATAATCAACTCACTCATAGAAGTAATGAGACCAAAACTGTTTAAAAAAGAAACATTAAAATAAAAAAAACTCATTTATGCTCCATTCCAGAACTTCAGGGACAGTTTTAGATCCACCAGGTTTATATTCTGTTTGCAAGTTCTATAAAGCACTTTTTGCCATCTGGTAATTAATGAGTTAAGTGAGAAAAAAGCAAACAGATCAATTGATTAGTAAAATTTATCTATTGCAGATCTAATGTCGATCCAGAAGAGAGAAGGTCAGTTTCCTCCATATTCACTGAGACGGTGGGTAGAAACCTGACCTTAGACTTTAGAGCTGAGTTTCTCTTTCCTGGTGATTTAAATAAATGTTAAACTGTAAACTGTATATCTAAAACAAAAATAAAGATAATTAGTTAAAGTTTAGTAGTTTTATTTTGAATAAAGTCTCACTTGCATTTCCAAACCATTTAGTTGTCTGACTGTTACTGTTTTCCAATAATAACACATATACCTCTGCTAGGCGTATGAGACAAAAAATATTATCTTTATTTATTTAAAAAAATAAAGATTCCAAATGTTAGAGCTGGGATCAAAGTCTGACTTTAGGAAAAAACAAATGCTTTCGGGTTTTAAAGGAAACATATTTTACTAAACATAAAAAATGAAAAGCTTGGAGTGTTTGAGCTCTAAGCAGCAGCTGCAGCTTCTCCTTATCTCTGGTGTTATTCCGCCCCCTGCTGGTCAAATAAAAAAATGAAATTTTCCACATAACTACAATTTTATTCAAGCTTGTTAAATTATATCTGGATAAATTGATCAGTTTCCCTGATGCTTGACTAGCAGTTTAACACATTAAAGATTTTAGTGAATAACTTTTCATTTTTAAGTCTTTTCAGGATTTGTAGCAATCTGTAGTCTGACCAAAAAAAAAAGGGTTTTGTCTTGCATCATATTTCTGGATAATATCACAGATTTACTTATTTTACTCATCAAATATTTATTGACTTATGAAGACAAAATGTGCACAAAACTTTAATTAATATCACCATTCTGAAAATCTTTATACATGTTTAGGTTTACCTGATCAGATATATATATATCACAACGCATTACATTTAAAATGTAACACTTATAAATTTCTGTGATCAGTAGGACCATTTCAGACCTACAGTTACGCATGGTAGGAAAACACTAAACACTCAGAAACCCAGTCTGCTGTGGGGTCCTTATTAAACATCGATGTCATATTTTAATTTCTGGAATCAAACCTTTAGTTGGTGTGGAAACCCAAACTATATTCTACTTTAGGTTTTTAAATGTTTGCAGCTGGAATCAATTTCCCTCCATTAATGATTCCAAGGAACTGCTGAACCCTTCAGGTTTGGGATATGAAGCATAAGTTTGTTAAAACAGCCTTTGATTTAGATTCTGTGTCATAAAAGAGGAAATCCTCGACAGTGCTGTTCTAATGCAAACTCTGGCGGCACCCAGTGGTTCTACAATGGTATTGCAGCACTTGGTTTTTGAGAGAAGAGTGTTTTTCAAACGAAGTCTATAAACTTTTCTCTTAAACTGAGGATTCTCTTCATGCAGGCACTTGGTTATTTATCTGGACTGTTCAGCTGATCACAAGGTGCATAAATAAATAAATAATAATGAAAAGATCCTTAAGGAAGAACTGATTAAAAAAGCTCAGATAAAAGGAAATGCATCTTTTAGATTTCAACATGACAAAGCTTCTGAATTTTACTGATCACTTTAGAACCAGAGGACTTTTAAGGTCAGCAACTGCAAATCAAACCTCCGCCCCCATCATCAGCCCTCCACTGTCATGCTTTACAACATGGTTCTTTACTTATTAATGGATTGTATCAATCAGCTTATGATTATTTGATAAGGGGCCATAAAAAAAAAAAAAAACACTGACTTTTCTCTTGTATAAAGAGGATCCATTAACATAAGGGCTTAAACATTTTTACAATATGCCAAATTACAAATAGTAGGTCCTACATAATTGTATTTGAACAATTCAATGTCATTATTAAATACTGACCGAATAAAATATACAAATGTTTTTTGACTCATTACTGAACGAGATGTCTTTAGAAAATACAACGAAATAGGAACATTTTAGGTTACTAAATAAAATTATGCATAAAGCCAACACTTGTGATTTCCAATGTAGAGATGTAAAACTATAATTAATTGACAGGTGATGTCACTCTGACATACTGTCAGACTGTTTTCCACTTTGATTCAGTGAAGTGGACTGTAAGTGGGATGTAGCTTTCTGTCTTTAGCATTTATAATAATAGCAGCGACTTCAGACTGGGGGTTAAAAGGGTGCGATTTGATAGATAATTAAAAAAATGTTCATATGAAGGTGTTTATATCAAAAAACAGATCCACATAATGTTCATTCTTCATCCTTGTTGCCATTAAACAGTGTCAATAATCCCAGACCGAACTCTGGATCCATTCATGTTTCTGCTCTTTAATTACTTCTAAAGGAAAAAAACTATTTGATAAAAAAAATATGTCTTTTGAATCTACTTAAGCCTATTTAGTTCCTTTAACACAATTGTTTCATGTTAGCAGGGTAGGACATAAAAAAAAGTATGATAAAGTAACTAAATATGCTTAAGCAGATTCAAAAGACCCATTCTTTTTAGTGTTAAGAATGCACAGCAGCACCTTCTAGTGGATGGTGATAACATTACAACACCAGACACAATTCCTTTCCCTCTTTCCTCTTTCCCTCTAAAATTAGCAGTTTAAATCGGGTTTTTAACAGTCGGCATTTTGCTCTATTCCCAGTAGCAAAAAAAGTTGGGTCTAACCCCTCATGGCCTCTGTCCCGCCCACCGCTGCTTGTCAGGTGACACCACTATGCTGAGTTAGCGCTGATGATGTCACCAGTGCAACCAGGAAAGTAAACAATGGAGAACAACATAGAAGGAAGCCAGGGCGTAGTGAGAGTGCTTTATTGTTTTGCTCTATTATCTATCCGAATCCCTCCCACCAGAGCTGCTTCATGTTTTTTGAATGTAAACAGAGTTGTTTCTGCTTCTTAAATCAAAAGCAACTGGCGCAGTGTGTTGACATTCGTACTTTACATTGAATTTTATCACTTAAATTAGCGAGTCAAACTCTGGTGTTCCCATGGCATGCCGATCAGAACTGAGGCCATTTTAACGCGGGTCGCTTGCCGAGTCGTTTGACCCGGGTAGACACGCGTCTGTTAGCTGTTCCCACTGCCATTTAAAGCAGATTGTTCCTCTGTTTAAACAGGTTTTTTTGACCAGCGGTAAAAGCGTATAAGTGCACCTTCTCAAATATGGAAACATTTTTAATCTACAAAAAAACAATCAACAATTAATCTCCAACTATTTGTTTTTCCTCAGATATAGATCAGATACACTATTATATTCAATGCAATATATATTAAATTTCCATTTCGTTAGGTTTCTGTTTCTGTTATGTTTTTCTTTTGAGTATCCAGTTTTGCTTTGCTCCTTGTTTTCTGGTTTTAGTGGGTTAATTCTTAGTTTATTGAGTTATTTGGTTGTCCTACTGTCCTATTCTGGGTTCTGTTATGTTTTCTCCATGTTTTACAGTCCTAGTAATTTAATTATTATTTATTTATTTCCAGTCTTTCAGATTTCTGTTTGTTGCTCTCTACTGCCCTCTTGTGTTCTCCTTTTTCCCTAGCTCTTTCCCTCTCTTGTTCTGTGCACACCTGCTCCCAGTTTCCTCATTAGCCCTCTCTTTGTCTCAGTCTCCTTTAAAAGTCTTCTCTCTTCGGTTCCTCTTTGCTGGGTCCTCGTTATAAACCGTCTAACCTCGTCAATCTTCCTCCAACTCGTCTCTCTGAGCCTCCCTCGTTATTACAGTAATTCCTCTGATGTCTCTATTGTTTCTGGTTCGTTTTTTACTTATTTTCATGTTTTGAATTTTT